ATTCGTGACCCAGTTTGTAGGGGGGCGGTGTCGGAGCCGACCCGTGGCTTATCTCTTAACCATTAAGCAGAGGACGACAGAGAGTCTACGCGACTATGTAGCCCGGTTCAACGAGGAGAAGCTGCAGGTAGAAGGCCTTACAGACGCTGTATCTCTGCTGGCCTTCATGTCCGGCGTCAGGGATGAACATTTGTCATTCTCGTTCGGAAAGAGAACACCGAACACCTTCTCGGAGGCGCTGAGCCGAGCTCAGAGGTACATGAGCGCTGGTGAGTTCTTTTACTCAAAAAGGGAACCTGACGGAAAGTGAACTGACCCAAAGAGGGAGAGGTCGGGAGATAAACCGCAGGGGTCGGGAGATAAACCGCAGGGGTCGAGATGGGAGAAGAGGGATCGGAGTAGCCAGAAAGATCCACCCCGAAAATTTGTAAAGTATACCCCGACCACCGTTCCAATCGAGCAAGTGCTGATGGAGATCAAAGACCAAAGGTTGCTTAAATGGCCGGAGAGGATGAAGGCCCCGTCAGCTAAGCGCAGCAAAAGCAGGTATTGTCTTTTCCACAGGTATCACGGCCATGCAACTCAGGATTGTTTTGATCTCAAGGAAGAGGTGGAAGGACTAATCCGAAGGGGCTACCTCAAGGAGTATGTAGAGGAACCTAAAGCGACCCAGAACGGCGAAAGCGACAAGTCTCCCGCAAGAGAGATTCGAACTATAATGGGGGGCCCCATAGAAAGAGAATCCGGGAGAAAAAGGAAAGCAGATGTGCGTGAAGCTAGGACGGGTCGCGAGCAAAATGAGGTCTAGCACGCGTATACTACAAACCGGACGGTGACAATTGAATTTTCGGAAGACGAAGCAACTCACCTCCTTCACCTTCATAACGATGCACTTGTTATCACGTTGAAGATAGCAAATGTTAAAGTACATCGAGTCTTGGTGGATGGGGGCAGCTTGGCGGATATCCTCTCCTGGACAGCCTATAAAGCTATGGATCTAGGAGAAAAGGTGCTCAAGAGTAGTCCGGCACCACTGGTAGGATTTGGGGGAGAACGGGTCATCCCCGAAGGGAGGATAGAGTTKCCAGTAACATTCGGAAGTGGGCCGAAGAGTGTCACYAAGATGGTGGACTKTTTGGTCGTTAACTACACATCCTCCTACAACGCAATACTGGGAAGACCGACGATGCATATGCTCAGAGCAATACCATCCACATATCACCAATCCATGAAGTTCCCAACACCGGGTGGGGTAGGAGAAATTAAAGGAGAACAACGAGTGTCACGGGAATGCTACTATACCTCAATGAGGGACAACGACAGAACTTCTACTAAGGGGGGCTGTTGACCTTTTATTTCTTCCTTCAAATATGGTCGTTTTCTACTTTTAACAAGATTTCTAATTATAATTCCTTGTGTTCAATAAAGTACCCATTTATTTGATTCTCTGTCAACTGTATCTCTTAAATCCAAAACGAGATACCAAGAGACTTTTTGATAAAATACTTTGTCTCGTCTACAAGCGTACTCTCAAATGATATCGACAATACAATTGAGAGTAGGGGGCAACAGGTACCGACTACGGCTACTCAACGACGTAAGCTTGGTAAATCCAATCCTACACGGTGACGGTAAAACCAGCTATACAGAGCAGGCCGAGCAGGGCTCGGGGCCAACCACTGCTTGGGTCCGACCACTGTTGGCGTCGACCAAGTGCGAACGGGCACAAATCTACATTAGTCGACGGTTTTACGAGATAGCCTATGTTTATTAATAGGTCTTATTTTCGACTAAACACGGCTCGTGGACCGACCACTGCTCGGGTCCGACCATCACTCGACGCCGATCATGTGCGACGAAGCATGAATCTACTTTAATCGACATGTTTGGAAAGAACAATTAAACAATCTCAACACGGCCAAACCAGAAGCGGGTCAATTGGCCTAGCACGGTTAAAACATGAGATG